ATGGATGCATAGATTACTCTTGAGAACACTCTAATTGTAAAAACAAGAAAAAAAAAAGAAAAAGAAAAAGAAAAAGAAAAAAGAAGAAAGAAGAAGCTAATTTCAGCATCAAGCTAGTTAGTTATTTTGAATTTGTTTTAATAGAATAGGGCAAACGGTTTAACTTGTGAGGAAAGGGATGGGAAGCAGGTTATAGAGGTTCCAACCTTCAATAACAAATGAGAAAACCTTTTACATTTAAATATTTAGGACATGTTTGGATCAGCTCCTAAGAGCTTCAGCTTTTAAACACTATTCATGTTTTATGAATTAAAATTTTTCTCTTAAAAACTTATATTTTTAAATATTTTTTTAATCTCAAAAAACTCTTAAACAATAAAAATTTAAAAATTTCAAATTCAAACTTTTCATAAACTCGTTTTTTACTTACTTTTCATTCATTTTTTTATATCTCTAAAAGCAAAAACTCTAATTTTTCTCTAATAAAAATTTAAATTTATCACCCATAACAGTACTAAAAAAGCAAAAACTTTCACAAGTCACACCAAACAAGCTCTTTATTAGTGGGTCTAAAGGTCTTTCTCTGTTATTTTGAAGTTAAGTACACCAAGATTGCTTTTTATTCAGCTTTTTTCTAATAAGTAAAAAAAGATTTTTATACTAGGAGTACAAAAAATACTCTGACTTATATGATCTTATACTTTGATATAACATAATTTACTTAGTATGATGGAAACTTATGGTGCACGTATATATATGGGAAATTAAAATCGACGTATATATATGCAGGTAGGCAGATACATTGCAGGTTCCACAAATTTTATCTTGTCAAGAAACATGTAACTTCGTTATATTTGATCCATCAACATCAAGAGTCTTTCTCTATATATTATGCGTGTGATGGTGCTTAACCAAAACCAAATTTGATCTTTTTTCAAAAGTAAGAGGAAAAAAAATGATCCACGTACGGGCCCCTTGATTATGCCTCTCAACATGTTTGGCGACATTCCACTCTTATAAATAGTTTTCCAAACAAATTACATTTTTTTTCAATCATTCAAGCAAAAAATACATATATCGTTATCATTTTGATCTCGAATGCATCCTAATATTCTAACATTAAAATTAATATATATCTCCTATTTTCTTTTTTTTATTAACTTACATTTCTTATAAAAGGAAAAATATAATTTAATTAAAATATTTAATGTAATTTAAACTGAACTGAACTATACAAAATAATGATTGCTGATGGAGCGAGACCCTCTGAATATGAACCCTCTTCCTCTGTCAATGGTTGTTTTTTCCTCTTTTTTTAATTTTTTAATTTTTTTTATGGCATGTAGCAGATACATCAACTAATTTTGGGCTTTGTGGATTGGGCAGGTTGTCAAATTTTCAGGCCCATAATGGTGTAGACTTGGGTTAAGTTGGGTATGTCATGGATCATATTGAGGCCCGGATTTAGTTTGTGATGTCTAACAAGCGAAGTAACACCCACAGAAAAGCCCAATGATTTAAGTTGGGTATGTCCATGGGTCATATTTGGGTCCAGTATGAACCACAGAAAAGCCCAGTGATTTAGGTTAGGTTTAATATTGCTGTAAAGTACCAACTTCTAAATATCCGGTAACTAAATTGGATCCTAATTAATCTAAAATTGAGTTGTGTTAGATTTCATTTGGAAAAATCTCTTTCAAAGTTTGTTTCTCCATTCACAAGACTCAAAGTTGAGACCTTACTCAAAAAGAACGAAACTTCTTTCATTCAGATCAATAAATATTACTATAAAAAAAGTGTTTCTATAGATTTTTTTAGTATTTTAATATGAAAAAAATTATATCATTATTATTTAATATTTATTTATAAAAAATTTTTATATGTTGTACATAAAAGTTAAAATTAATTTATATATAAATTTTATAAATTATATTTATATAAAATTTGATTTTTTATTTTTTATTTTTTTAATAATTAAAATTCATTTATTTTTATCATATTTATTAAAAATATTTTTTTGTTAGAATATGTGTTAAATTTTAATTATTTAAAATAAAAAATAAAAAATAAATTTTTTTTATAAATATGACATAAACATATTTGTGATTTATACATCAAACCATAAAAAGTTATATAGAGTACAAAATATGAATTCAAATTAATTTAATAATAAAGCATAAAAACGCAGCCGCGGCCTCACGGCCCAACGGCCTTAGGCCGGCTTGTAAGGTGGCTGGGGTTGGAATCCCCTCCCCCGTATTTGTAACTTGTTCAAAAAAAAAAAACGCAGCCTTATCAGGGACTACTTCCTCCTCCCTCCATGCCGACCTCCGATGGCACCAACTTCTGGACACTGCAATCGGCGACCGGAAAACTCCCATTTTCTTTCATTTTTCCTTCATATTGAATTTCGCTGAGTTTCTATGTTCTTGCATTTATGATTTTAGATTTTTTTTTTGGGAAAATTTCAGCTGGAATCTGAAGCAAATCTCTGCAAAAAAAAGGTGCGTACTTTATGGCGTAATCAATTTTGAATGCATAATCTGTATTGATTGCTGCTTGCTTTTGCTTTTTCCGAAGCCTCCATAGTTCTTAAGATCATAGGCCGCTTCTGGTGATTATTGCAGGTTTAAGTTATAATGGATTGTGGCTTCCTTGTATATACGGATTTTGATTGATTATGCCTTCCTTTTTTTTTTTGGTAAATAATGAATTCTACTATTCGCATTGTAAATGTAGTGCTGATAAAACTAATCTAATTATCATAAAATATTTTAACTGGTAACTCGTGAATGATATCTTCGTTGTCTTAATTGCAATTTTTCTTTGATGGTTCATCTAGTTGTAGCAGCAGGTTTCTTCTTTCAAGTTTCAAGCCTCTCTTATGTGTTGGCTGCAGTGCCTACCTCACGTGTTGTGGGTTTGGAATTTGATATTTTATTCCAATGTAATTTATAAGTTATTTGATATTGTCTTGTTAGCAGTAATTGCCATGTAGTTATTATTTCTAAATTTGTTGGATTGTGAATGATGACTTATCTGCAATTTGGTTGTGGCTGTTGCCGTTTGTACTTTGATGCTGATTGGAGTTTTTAGAGGTAGAGAGATGGGTGTGAGTCTGAGGAAAATGTTGTAAGGGAATGAGTCTAACACAGTAACACTGTTGCAAGGGTGATATTAAGGTTTAAATAGGTCCATAAAGTAGTAAGAGATAAATATAATTTGGAATAACATCAACAGGAACATGTTAACAACTATCATTTTAATGAGAGAAAGCAAAGATACACTTGTTCAATATAAGTGAATAGGAGATGAATGTAAACTGACAAGGATTTACTATTTAGTTAGGAAGTCAGTGGTAGAGTTCTTGAAGATCTACAAGACAGAAAAAGTGAATCCTTCTGAATACTCTCTAATAAACAGAAGTTTAATGCATTATTAAGTCTGCAAGAGAGAGAGAATCAATGCATTTATTAATTTTATTTAGAAAAATAACTACTTTCTTAAGGTGTAAGTTGCTTCAGCTTATGGACTATTGAAATTTTCATAAGATGTCTTTTGTATGCAAATGAAACCAGGCTACAAGCTGTAAATAATGTGGAACCAAAATTATAGCAGTTATTGTGCAATAATTACTCACAAGAGATCCATATATTCTTGTATTGGTTGGCACTTTTTGCCTTGCCATCATGCTATCCGATTACCCAATTCTTTGAAAAAACTTAAGAGAAAAGTCAATCTATATACAAGGTCATCAATTATAGAAATAAATTATTTCCTTTGAGAGCAGAATTTGTTGGATTTTCTTTCAGCATGCTTTCTCTCCCTCATGTCCGCCACCCACACCCACGGTAGCACAGTGTGCACACATGCTTACACACACACAGAAATCATATGGATCTTTCTAGTGAGTTTAAAGAGTTTCATGTCTAGGTTGTCATCAATTCTCTTTGATGCATTCAATGTGGATTCCTTTGGCATTTCAGGAAAAGCTTTTGACTAGTTAAGTTTTTTGGAAAAGAAGAAATTTTATCTGTGAACTTGTTAAGTCTTTTTGGACCAATAGATGCCTTGTTCTTTGTCTGTAGTTCTTACTACATATAAGAGCACTGTAGTTTAGTTCTCATGATAATGGGTATAGCTTACTTGTTTGATTAATTTATAGTTTCAGAAAATTGAGGAGTAAAATGATTTAGTTGAGCACAAATATTCATATTTTAATTTTAAGACTTAAATTGAACACCAAATCAGTCGACTACACCTTGCAATTTCATGAGTGGACATTGTAATGACCTCTAAGAATCAGGACTTCAATGTGCCTGCTTTCATTCTATGTTTCCTTCCTACTTCCAAAACTACCCCTCAACGGGCACTAAAAGTTAATGACAGGTTGTTTCATGACTTTTTTTTATGTGGTGTCCATTCTGCATGTTATTGACACTTGTTGTGGAAGATTTGAACTTTCATACTTGCTATGACCATTTAGAACTTGGGTGTCAGCTTGGGACAGTTCACTACAAATCAGGGTGATGCAAACTAGTTAGTTTGGTTCAGGGCCTGAAGTGGAGTTGTTTGGCTTGGGTATGCAGATTCTAATTTCTGGAACCAATGGGTATAGGTTCAGGCACAGGTTCTAGTCTAGAACTCTTTGAACAAGATTACTCTCCCAACTGGTAACCAGTACTGATTACACAAGACAGGACCATGAACCAATACACGAACCGATAACTCTTGAATGCTTTGGTGGTCAATTTTTTCCCTCTAGATACCTGCATTTATGACCATTCTAAATATGGCATATTACAGATAAGACCGCTTTAAGGCTGAGTTTGGTGGAGCTTCTCTATGGCAGTTTTTACATATTTGCTCTTCCTGTGCTTTCCTTTCTTAAATGTTTTTAAATTAAAATTGTCATTTACTTTAATTAGGATTCACCATGTGACCTTTTGCCCTGCCCCTCAAATGAATATAAAATGGAGTGAGTAATAGGACCTTCCACACCTCCTTGTAAGCTAGTCTTGTGCTTTCTAGTTCCCATCTCTTCTTCTTCTTGAAGTTATTCCATTTTTCACCTTCAAATATGAATTCCCTACCACCTAGAGAAGATGTAGAGAACCATGCAAGCACAAAAACATGCTTCTATTGCAAAAAAGTATTCGACAACTATCAAGCTTTAGGGGGTCACCTCAGAATTCATCAACTGAATGGGTTATTGAAGACTGGGAGTTTTTCTGGCCATTTATCAAATTCCTCTGAAAATTCTAGGATGTATCCTGTATCTGTTCCCAACAGCCAGCAACAGTTTTCCTCTGGGTTAGCTGGTGATCACCTAACCTCATTCACTAGAACAACCTTTCCTTTTGGCCTTCCTAGGAAGTTCTGTAAAAATGAATTGAACCAGGCAGATATGAGCAATTTCACCGGAAACAATCCCAGATTTGCTAGAATCCCATCTATCTTGTCACAAAGCTTTTCATATGGCTCTATTGCTAATATTAACTATTTGTCTAGCTGTGTATCTGCTACAGCATCTGCTTCTCTTCCTAGGATGGCATTTGCTTTATCTGGTACTGGTTCCTCTTCAGATCTTTCTTCGAATTTAGGCTCAAATGCCATCTCTCAGTTTAATACTGATAATAATTTCTGGACCTGCCAGGATGGTTTGCCATCCTCACCCCTAGAGTACTATCAAGGTCACAATTCTGGTAAGCTTCTGTGCCCTGTCTTTGGCATAACCACTCCTCAAAATAGTTGTGGTTCTTATCAGTCACCTAACTTCAATGAATGTACTACCGTTGGTTGCTTCTTTCCAGGTCCCAATCTGTGCTTTAGCGTCAGCAAATGTCAGGGTAGTGTATTGACTGGAGATAAGAGATCCTTCTTTGGTGAGGGCTCAGCAATTGGTAGTATTACAAACGTATCAAAGAAGCAAAAAAACATCTCCGGTCTGGCAATGGAGTCAGGGGAGTCTAGGAAAAAAGAGCTGCCTCTTTTCGTGGATGCTGATGATACCATTTATGCATCAGAAGCTCTTAGTGCTGAAACAAAGGGTCAAGCAGATGTGGATCTGTCTCTGCATCTGTAGTTTTATGTGTTTTTCTCATAGTAAAGAATTAAAGAAATAGTTTCTGGTGATGAATGTGTCTTTTCTTTTTCTGGTAAACAATGTGTTTATGTTTTGGTAAAAGTTAATGGAGTTTCTGAAGATGAATGCGTGTGTTATTTTTCTAGTAAACAATGAATATGTTTTGGTAAAAGTTAATGGAGTTTCTGGTGATGCATGTGTGTTTTCTTTTTCTAGTAAACAATGTGTATGTTTTGGTAAAAGTTAATCTGTGTTTTCTTTCTCTAATTTCTGGATCAAAAGGGAAAAATGATGAAGAAATTGTCTCTAATTTCTGGTCAATTAAGATTTGAACTCCAGAAATTTAAATATGCGCTTTTGAGGATTATCTTAGAACTATATAGGCCTGGTAGAGTAAAGAGAGGAGTTAATATTTAGGAATGAAGGTTCTATCTCTTTTAAGGTTTTAGGTCTGTATGTAGGAAAGAAAGCTAAGGTAAGTCTTTTGTTAGTAGATGCCCAATAATTCTTGTCTCCTCATGTGTATTACTTACATTTATGCCAATTGTTCTGCTATAAATCTTGTTGCGGCTGCTTACCAGCATTTGAGTGGTCAAATGTAGAGTCAAAAGTTGATAGTCTAAGAACCACACCTTATTCTTGCTGAACTCTTTTTTACACCTCATTCTTGGAGAACTCTTTTTTACAGAGTTACAGGGACAATCCAATGGAATGATTAAATAGAGAAATGGATTTTATTTCAATAACTTTCTTGGTAGACTGCATGTTACACATTGAACCATTTTGGTGAGACGAGACAGGATTGCTTGTGTATCTATAAGTAATCTGTTTTGAAAATGCATGAAGTTTAGAAGCCATTTGCAACATTAATGATTTGAAAAGATGAACCTTTTTACAGGAAAAAAAAAAAATCTATTCTTTTTAGTTGGCACCCTTTTGGAGGATCTGATTAGACAATTTAGTATTCACTGTGTAGCTTATTTTGGGAGAGCCAAAAAGGAAAAAAGGACTATAATGTCTGCAGGGAGTATCCATTGCTTTAGTACTTTTTAACATTTTTTAGTTACTGATTCTGTATTTTGAGCATGTGGTCTTCTAATTAGGTTTGTTATTTCAAGGGAAGCAGACTTAGTCCCAGAGTTTCCAAAATCAATTTTGCTTGATGTTACAGGTTAACTACCTTATTTTGAGTGAATGAAGAATGATTAAACTATCTGGTAAGTTATGATAATTTGGTGTGATGAAGTGCAATGTAAATGCACAATGCAGCATCCTTTCTGTTTCGTGTGGGAGGGATGCATTGTGCATTATGCCTTATGCATCATAACCTTTATTTTCTCTCTTCATGTATTCTAGCAGCTGTGTTTAAGAAAATTAATTTATACTTGAGCTTATTGAAGTTAAATGATTAAGTAGACAGCTTAAAATTCTTACAAAACAAAAGCCAACGTTTTGGGTACACTAGTTCAAATATATATTAAACTGTATTATGGTTCTATTTTACTTAGTATTTTATTCTGAAGTTATTCTGAAGTTAAGTTCCCGAATGGTCCTTCTGTATTGCATCAAAAGGATAAATCATTGTTTTTGACTGATTAACTTCAAGGTTTTGAGAATGAAGTTAATTATAAGGGGAACTTTTGACAGCAATTGAAGTACATAAATGTCAACTAGTATCCCAATCATGTTTTGTGTTGCCTTAATAGTATCCTTGGTGTTTTCCTGCTGCTTGAGATTGAAATTAGGTTTGTGCTCAAAATTCTTCTTTGGTTGGCTTTTAGTCTTAGCCGTCTCTCAAGGTCTCTATCTTATTGTTTCATCTTGAAAACCCGATCATGTTGACATCAGAGTATAAATCAATATCTACCATTAAATGCCACATCCACTGTTCCAACTGTTACCTTTAATCACACACTTCTTCTATTTGATTTGTGCCAAACCATGGTTAAAACACTCAACAGTTTATCTATGATAGGGAAATTGGACATTAAAAATGCCTCATTTCTTGTTGAATCCTTTATCATTCTGGTTACTCAAAGCTAAGATAAGCATGGAGAAGCTCTCTAAGCTGATAGGTAGTTTTGTGTTGAACTTTGTTGGCTATCCTATGCTTATAGGAATAAAAGCAACCCATGGATAGAGTTTAGGTTTCACTTCAGACATTGTTAAGGTGAGAGCTAAGTGAGACATGTATTTCTGACTGATTATGATTTTTCTGCATGAATATAGCACATTAACGTCTCTCCATAAACTAGAGACAACTGTTTGTTTCTCTGTTATGTCAAATGATTCTTGAATCTTAATTGGGTGCACATTTAAGCAGGACATTTATCAATTCGTTTGGTTTATTTATGTTCAATGCATTTTGCTCTACAATGTTAGTTATGTCGGATTTATCAATGTCCACCGGCTCAGTTTCATTAAAGACATAGCTATGGCGATTCTCTACTACCAGTGTCAGCAATTTGGTTGGACAGAAGGGTGATTCATGGGATGGCACTTGACAATGCATTTTTCAGGAAGAATATTCAGCTGTCTATGGAAAAGACTCAATACTAGGTTTGGTGATTGTTTCAAGGTTTTCTCTGATTTACCACAAAGCTAACCACTAGGAGGTAAGCTCAAACGAGACTGCTCTTTTTCTTTATGAGGGTAGGACATCTAATATAGATTTGCAATAGCTTAAGCTTTTATGTTGTATCATTTCCTCTCAAATCAAGAATATTTTGAGAAAATATGTGTTTGATTCTCGCTTGATGAAATACTTGAATTCACAATGAAGTTCAGTCTGCCAAATACTTTTGAAGCCACAAAAGCTCTGTTTCTTTATCTTTGTTACAAAAGCTTTTTGCTCACATATCATTTACTTCTCTTAGCTGCTTGTTATAATGTTGCTTTCCCTCCAGCTCCCACTTTTGTCATATAGATCTGAATGCAAAGTAACTGCTCTTGGGTATCTCCTTTCTTTACTCCCTTAGATCCAAAGCTCTAGATTGTCACTTCTAAATTGCAATGTAATGCTTCTGTATTCTACCTCCCACACCCTCAGGCAGTTTCTATTCTGCTTTGCAAAATTTCCAGGTTGAACTGCTATTCTTCAAACCAAATAGCTTCTCTTTTCTAAGCACCAGCTTTTGCTAGGCAGGTGTTTCCATCTGGCAAATGTTTTTCCCAAGAAGGTAACCAAACCAAAGTGGCCCTTTTAAATGTTGCATTTAATTAAAATAGAAAAGCCACATAGCCCCCTGAAATTGATATTCTTCCTTTGGTCTGTAATCCACATGAGATGCTTGTGATCCAAGTTTGTTGGATAGGTCGACAAGCAACTAAGGTTCACCAAACCACGAAATTAGGGTTAATGTACTGTATACCAACAGACTCTAGTTATGTTAACAAGATTATTCTTTAACAAATCAATATCATGCACCTATCAAAAACCAAAAAAGTCGATATCATGCATGTTACTTTAGTTATTTCATAGTAAAGATGAAATGGACATCCTGATCAAGAATACGAATTATTAGTGATGTCCCCACCATATCAATTTCTTTTCTAAGGCAAGATGATAAAGATGAACATCATTTCACGAACTTAATTAAGGATTACTTTTTTTTACTTTTTTTTTTTTTCTACTTTTTTTTAAGCTTTTGAGAATGTGATACAAGTTTTTTGTCTTGCAATACGTTTGAACTGTATAACAAAGACAGTTAAATGAAGGATAATATTTAATACATGAATTTAATTTAAATTGTAAAATAAAAACCATTTAATAAAAAGATAACCCTTAATATTAGAATTCAAACTATAAAGTCTTTTTTTTTTATGTAATATTATCGAACCAATCAACGTGCACATACTCTTTATTTCTTCTATTCATTTTTTTAATTAAGAAGGGGGAAGGGGGGAGGGGGGAAGCAATTGGGAGTCCACCTAAATTGCAGCCTTTAGGACTGCAATTGGAATCCATATCACCTCCCCTGAAAGACAAAAAAGAGAGACAATTAAATATAAACAAACCCATATTTTGAGTTAAAAAAAAAAAAAACCCATATTTTAGGAGGGAGGTGAACGAACCTACGAATCTAGGAGTTTCCATTATTGCAAGCAAGTGATCTTGCTACTTGTTCCGAAGGTCAGGAACATTTCTTTTATTCAATTAGGGGTCATTGAGGTTGTTCCTTCTAAGTAAATGTTTCTCAATCATCCATCTATCTTTTCTTTATCCTATTTCTCTTTTCACTTATGTTTTACGTATTTTTATGTATTAAAAAGGACGTCTAGGTTCATTACCTATCTTAAAAAAAGAAAAAGTTAAAGAAAGTCTAGGTTAGATCTTGAAAATCAGTTCACATACAAAATTATAATATAATTTTACAAGTTTGTCATCAAATTTAGATCATACAATTACCTTTAAATGTGGGAATGTCCTTCATTCTATAATTTTATTTTTTGACAAGGGTAATGGTTAAGAAATTAGTATGAATTAGTTGTTAGCAATTGAGATTCCCAGAATAGTGAACATTCCACCCCTTAAATGAGGCGTGCGGCCATTAGATCGCAAGTTGATGAAGTTCACGACGGTGGCAAGGTTCGAAGTCTTGATCTCTGCCTCAGATTTAGGGACAATCTATAATTTTAATAATTACAAAAGTGAAATTTGTTGTTTATGTATATATATAAAAAAAAATTATATTATTTTTTAATATAATTTAATATATTATTTAAATAATTAATTTTTTATTCATATAAAATTAATTATATTAAATTTATTTATTTATTTAATAATATATAAAAATTATATCATATAAAAAATTTATATGGTGTTGTCTCTTTGACAGATGCCGATGCAGTGTCGTGATAGCATCGTCTTTAGTATCAAGGTTTTTAAAATCGGACTGGATCGGTCGGTTGAACCGGTCGAACTAGTATTCAGTGATGAAAACGGTTTGATTTACATAAAAAATCATTTGATGTCAAAATCGATAAAAATCGGTTAAAATCGATCAAAATCGATAAAAACCAATCAAAACCGATGAAACCGATGAAACCAAAAAAATCACCGGTTCAATTTCTCATGCAATCTTCTTTCAATTTTTTCCAATTTCACCCTTTTCATTCCTTTCTTATACCCATTTTAACTTTTAATTTTAACAAAATTACAAAATTATCATACACCAAATTAAAAATTCCTTGCCTACACCTTACTCCTCTCATCAAATCTTCCTTACTGTTTGGACCGATCGATTCATCGGTTCAACCAATTAAACTGAACCTAAAAACGGTTCAATGCCCGGATCCGGTTTTAAAAACCTTGCTTGGTATTGTATTCGGCCCCCTGATTATCCGCTTTAATTACATCACTTACCTTAAACTACGCGTTCGGCACTTCGCTTTCACCCCTTAATCTTCCTTCTCAAAGGCTCGGATTACAATAACAACAAACGACAATACTCGCACAAAACAGTGGTACACTTTAACAACTGCTACCTGCACATTTCAAGGGCGTATCAATACGCGCTAGAAACATACAAAAAGGTTAGCCATCTTATCTATAAATTTCATTTAATAAAAAAAACTTCAAATTTCATGGAAGTTTTTGTAACACTCTTATTTACTTATATAAAAAGGTGTTTCTCCGGTTTAAACTATATTAAAACATTACTTAATAGATTATGAGGTCTCATAATTGAAAGGGTAGACTCCTTAATTTGATGATTGATATTTTGTAATTTAGACAATAAAATACTAAAGTTTACTAATGTATATGTATAAATTTTACAAAAATATTATAGTTATAATACTAAGTGTTTTGTAAGTATATAACATGATATATTATTATATAATTGATTTTTTTTCATTTAAAAATTTATTTGTAATATTATATATATCTACTCGCTAAATACTACATTATACTCACTTAATGCTATATCTATGTTGGTTTAGATGAAGGCAACCCAAGAGGAGGTGAATTGTATTTTCAAAAACTTTATGCAATTTTCAAAAACAAAACAATGAGCAAGCACAAGCAATTGCAACAACTAATTTAAAGTGCAAAAATTAAAAGCTTAAGGAAGAGAAAGCTCAACACAAGGATTTATAGCGGTTTGATCACAATTTATACCTAGTCCACTCCTTAAGCCATTTGCTTGAGAGTTTCT